GACTTTCTCGGCATATCTGAATAACTAGTTTTCATGCAGACAAGTGACAAAAAAAAAAAGAACACGTGAAGCGGCTCTAGTGAAGTCGGCCGATGCCAAGATTAATTCCGCCTGAGCCTCGCGCGCGCGGCCTTCCTCGAAGAGCCATAATTAACCACTTAAGCGATTACAACGGATCCCGACGTAACGTTTTACACGTTTTCTGACGATGAGTGCAACGAATCCTTCCCCCTCTCTCTCTTTCTCTCTCTCCTCTCTCTCTCTCTCTCTCTGCTTAGTATTGACACGTATTCTTGTACTACGCACATATAAAACGAAAGTGATCTATGGCGCGACGACAGAATCTGGTCAATGGAAACTATAAATCTCTATAAGACGATATGTATAATTAACAATCGCGAATTCTATTGATAGATATGTTACGAAAAATATAATGACGATAGAAAATTAAAAATCAAATGAATTGACGATTATGAAAGATTATTTCGTATGGCTGTGTATTACATAAGCCGTAGAATGCAAGGTATCTTTAAGAGCCGAGACCTTGATATATTCGATAATCACGCTTTCCAGACAGTCGTACCGTAATCGTGCCTGCAACATCTCAAATACGGGACGCGTCAGGAGACGTACGGCCACGTTAACTCATTAAAATGTTTTGGCAACAGCATGACAGCGCGGTAGCGCGACATCGATTTGTCAGTGACAAAGTCTGGCAGGGAAGAGGAAGAACTGGCCAACGAGTACGGCAGGCACGCACTTCATTGTATACGTTACTGACACGTCGAGGCGATTTGTTCTGAATGAATCTGTCACTCGTAAACTCCGTTCGACTTCCTTTTTACAACTGACAAATTAGAATCGATCTCTCAACTTTTTCAGAATGGGAAGACAATTGAAGACATTTAGGAAACGTGTTTTGGACAAAGAAATAAAAAAAAAATTGAAAAGTTTTCTCCCAATAAATCGAGAGAATAGCAATTTAAGAAAACGGTTCCAGGTCTCTTGAAAAATTGACTTAAAATTCTATATATTGTAAACGACCATTGATAATCATAATCTCATAAATCTTTTGCTTGAAACGCTAATTCTAGCCACTTAACTTTTATCATTTGCAGTAAAATAATTTCAATACAATTGATAAATGCAGTCTCATGTTGTATTCTTGATTGGGTTAATTCCAGAAATCTATAGATGTTATCAAGAAGCGAGGTTTAAAGCTTCGCGAGAAACGTGACAGTTCTTGACCTTGATATTTCTTTTTTCGAAAGAGAATATCGCGGGAGTATCTACACACGTTGCGCGTTCGAGTTTACTACATTGTTTACATTAGTTGAATTTTTGTGCGAGGCGCTTAGCGGTGTTAACGCGCCAGTTTCACGGCCATTTGTCTTTATAAAGGTTGCACCGCGACTAGCTATTAATATTATTTTTATAAACTCCCGAAATATCATTTCTAAAGAATTCTGAGTCGGTTATAGCCTAAAGAACGTGAATGTTCAGGCTGACATATGCATTCAAAGATGCATACAAATATTCAATATCGAGACAATAAAATAATCGCCAACGATAAAAAAAACAAGATAAAATCGAGGTGATTCGAAATTTTTGGCTCATTTGTCGTACATGCTGCAACAAATTGGACGCAACATTCCATGAGTCGGTTTGCTTCCAAACTTGTTCAATATGTTACTGTAATCGTTGCTCGCACAACAATCGGCCGCGTTTTGGCGACGACCTGAAGGAAGGAGAACGCGATTCGAGACGGCTTACAAAGTAGCTTTTATTGACGTCGTGCCAATAAGAGCAACGTGGCATATATCTCTCTTTCTCTCTTTCTCTTTCTCTCTCACTTTCTCTCACACGTAGAATTGTCCAAGTGTCGTTGTCGACGCCTCCGGCGTTCGCGATTATTGCGAACGGGAGAGTGTGGGCAATAAGGCCATCGCCGCTGCCGCCGCCGTCGCCGCCGCCGCCAACGTCGACGGCAACGACGGAGAAGAACCTTTCGAACGGTGACGACGTGCAACGTAATGCGGCGTAATAGCGAGGAAATTAATAGGAGCGGCCGCGTGGCTAGTGGACAGCCATACGCCGGGAACGGGAATCCGAGTCACATATTTTCCCTAGCCGACACAGAGCGCGCGCACACAGACGCGATTATCATCGGACCGTGAAAGCGGCGGCTACGAGAGTAGGCACTTATCGTGCTGCGATCGATTTCAAATGACGTTAATCTAAGCGCGCGAGGCAGCGCGAGATACCTGGTGCTGGCGTTACATCGCGTCGAGCTAAGCCCGGACGCTACGCGGCCACCATTAGGAAATGTCGCGCCGCGCCTCGCGCCTCGCGCCGTTGATACTTGATTATTTCATTCCTTCGTGCTTCGCGATCAATCGCCGGCAACTATATGATACTCTCGCGTCGCAAAGTCTACTTACATGGAATTACTTCTAACGATACGTTACTTCTGACTTCTCATATGGATTATCGATATATGACTTAAAATCGGAGCGTTTCAATACAACGCTATACGTCGCTATGTTGCACCGATATTTCAAGAGAAAGCGGTAATTCTTTTTCAAGGGAAACTTAACAATGTTTTGTAATACACATTGTAAAATAAAAATTACGTTACGTACTCATTACTCAATGGATATTCTTGCGCATATTACCTTCATTTAAATAAACCTCCAGCCAGCTGTTTACCACGACGCGGACGCAACGGAATGATGTATCGATCCCGTTGACTTGGCAGGAATTATAGGGGAGGCTAACGAATAATTAAACTCACGCGACGCGCGCGAAATTGGCGTCGATATGATTTCCCGCGTCGTTCGCGAAATATCGAGAGTTAACTCTCCGCGACAAAAGCGATCTACCGTCACTTTTTTCACGTTTTCACGCGGACATGGACAAAATACAGAAATACTGTACGATAAAAGAACAATAAAAGACTTACCGAAAACGGGACTGTGGTCGGATCTCGCCGACGTTTTTCCCGTCGTCGCATAGGTCCCGGGGAGCGTGCCCTTTTCCTGCAACACACATGCACGCACTTAATGCTTCGTGTCCTGCGGCTACAGAAATATTTGGGAGGGTGGATGAAGAATATGTCGAAACGCGAAACGCGAAACACGAAACACAATATGGAGAACAAGGAAAATACGTCGGTGGGACGACGAAGAAATGGATCCGCACCTCTGACTCCGTGAGGTCGATGAGATCGCTCTTGTCCTCGGTGAGATTCTCCGAGGACCTCTTCTCCTCCTCGCCCTCATCCTTGAAGACCTTGACCTCGTCTTCGCTGCCGAGATCGTCGCCGCCGCCGCTGCTGCTCACGTGCGGCATTATTGTGGGCACGCGAGCGACGCCGACGGCCACCGTCTTCCCTCACTTCCCTGTCTTGTCTCGTATTCCTCACTTGCCGATCGACTCGTATTCGGTGTGAGAAGGCTCGTCTCCGTCGGCGGGCGAGATGACTCACGGCGAGGAGTTTCAAGATCTCGAGTCGAACGTCGTCCGTCGCTGCCGGCGATACGTTCGAACGATGGCCGACGGAGCGACGTGAAGTTTGCACTTGTTAGAAACACCGACTCAACCGACCGCGATCGCGATTCACTGTTCACATTCGATTCGAATCTCACTGAACGCGCGCGTCGAATGCGGTCCGAACGAACGTGATCGGAGGCAATTTCGTAGCACACAGCGTTTATACCGTTGCCGTCGCCACGCCGCGACCCGCGTGCCGCCGCGCCGGTGCGTCTCGTCTGTTCTCGTCGCGCTGACAGTTGAACGACGAGGTTAGGCCGTACCACTTGACCCGAGAGACAAAGGAGTCAGCGAATGCTCCGCGTTTCTTCGCGTACCTCGATATCCGTCGGCGCTCCGGAGTCCAGAGTGAATTGGCGTGACGCGAGTCAAAATGACAACCGTGGCGCACTTGAGTTAGAACACTCGCGACGCGCGTGGAGAATACGTCTCGCCGAGACGGCCGGGCGCGCCTCTCGACCCTCTCGATCCTCTCGAGTCGATCTCCGCGCTCTGTCGCGCGACACAGCCGCGCGCGCGAAAAGCGCGTAAGTTTAATTTCCGGTCGTCGCGCGCGGTCGGCGTCGTTGTCGAAGAGAGATACGCGTGGGAAGGTCGCCGCTACTGGAGGAGGAGGAGTAGGATGAGGAGAAGGAGGAGGAGAAGTAAGGCGGCGTAGAACGGGAGAGGAGAGAAAGAGACAGAGTAGCGTGAAGAAGAAAATGTGGCGGAAAGAGGTAGATGGTGTACAGAAGGCAGGCCGTGACGGTATTAATGCGCGGAGTTTACAGTGGAGCGAGGTGCGCGTTGCCTTGTTCCTCCACTCGCTCCCGGTTCTCTTTCTCTCACTCTCTCTCTTGAAGTTAGCTCCGGATGGGATTCTCAGTGCGCGCACCGCGAGCCTGGTTTGCACGTAGCATACCCGCACAAAGACGGTGGCCACGATGTTTCCGCGAGCGCACGATACTGCGATTCCGTGAACGGGCCCGTACGATGGACACGACGCGCGACGAATGCGGCACCACGACAACTACGGCACTCTCGTTGTTGTTGTTGTTGTTTATGCTGTTTTTGTGGACGGTGCACGCGCCGAGCGGTCATCGTGCCCGTGAGTGTGTAACAAGCAGTGTTCGAGATTGCGTGTCGTTCCCGCGTATACCTATATCTCGCCCCGACTCCGAATGTCCCCGGTACGGTCTACTTGGATGCTCGGTGCCGACTGCCGGCGACGGTGAGCTCGGGCGGGCGGCTCTCCCACGCGACGACCAATCACGACGCCGGATTCACCGCGGCGGTTTCCCTCGCCGACGCGCCACCTCGCTCCCCCGCGATGCCGCGCTCAGCCAGTCATGGCAGGCAAGGCGGCGAACCGAGCCCGTCCGACCGAATACGATCTCGCCCGAACGTGCTCCGGCCGGCGCCGTCTCCAGTTCTCCACCGCCGCCGCCGCCGCCGGCCGCCGCTATACTACCACCAACGCGAACGTATCGTTGTGTCGTTGTCGTTGTCGTGAATTGTCGTCGTCGTCTTCGTAGTTCGTAGCCCTTGTTTGACGAAGAAATAGTGCCTCTCATCGCGGATGTCGCCGATGCGTCTTGACGAATCACCAAAGCTGTCGCACCTGGTAACGAAGGTAGGAAAATTCAAACCATTTTTTCTTATTTATTCTCAAGCTTTACGGCTGTGCAAGCTGCATACGCATATCCGCGCTCGCGCGCACGCACGTTCGGCTCCGCACTGGCCGCGATCATGCTCGTAAATGTCGTTGGTTATTGCATTTATTCCCCAGGCGAATCGTTGCAAGTTTCTTTTCTGCCTGTTAGTCGAATTCTTTTTCTCTTATTTTGTAATATCTTATCGGATCGGGAAAAAAGAAACTTATCGAGTACGTAGGTACTCATCGTAAAATAAAAATGGCGGGATCGTCATGAATTTATTGTCCAACATGGCACTTACGCGAACTTGCTTCTTGCTCCTGTGTGAAGCAGTTAGGACAGGTGCACGCGTGATTTCTTCATGGCCACGGAAGAACGTAGTAATTTATGATAATTTATATGTCCGCTACCGCCCATTGCAACTAATTTCAGCGTTTACAATTAATATCTATATTGTCGAAAGGATATCTAACGTTACTGTGAACTTTAATATACATAAATTCTCGTGCGTGAAAATTATGTTATAGAAATCGAATATCATAAGCCATTTATCGATGAATATAAGAAACTGATTTCTCAAAAAATATAACAATGGGGTTTTCTTATATAATATGATTTTTTACTGAAATAATTATACTTCTTTTCCGGTACGATTTGTGTGCGCGATACAGAGAAAAGGATATTGTCATGCATATAAATCTTTCTCTGTACTTATTTGATTCTGTACCGTAATTCATGGAAAGAGATCACATCGAATGCGCGCGCGTTCGCGTTTCGGATTTCTGAAAATTATGTATCTATATATGAGCCGAGAGAGGAAAATCCGGAATAGCTGTGTTTCCTATGACGATGACGGCGCAAAATCGAGAAAACAGCTCCGCGTATTTCCGACGCTCTTCCGAAATTACGACGGTATTGCCGAATCGTGGTGCGTGCCGTCGAAGCGCCGCGCCCGCGCCGTTGAAACATATACATTGCAGGATATATAAACTCCGACATACAAGCGAATTTAATACGTCATGAAAGCATCTAAATTCGCATCGCCGCGCCGATGAGAGCTGCCTCCTCTCGCCAGTCTCTTTCAGCGAGTTTTTCGACTCTCGATTTTTGCCGCCGTTGTTCCTTTTTAGACCGTCGCGTCGTTCAAACTAAATTTTAGCCGCACCACTCTGCGAGTACAGCTCTTTTTCGTATTTAATAAATTTTTAATTAGTCTCGTAAACTTTACGAGCGCAGCAAATCTATCATATGTAGCATGGAGTTACATGATTAATGTATATACGCTTAAAAATGAGTGCGTTATTTGAGCGCTTCGATATGTTCGTCCTATTGCGATGTCCTGTATATTACGATGCAATCAAGTGTAACTTTATTATTGCGAAATAGAATTCAAGTAAAGTTCCGTAGTGTTTTGCCTTTTATAAGATAGATTTTATCCTTTGTGCTATCGGTAGGAATTCCATAAAATTATTATCCAGGTCCTATATATGTAATAAAGAATTAAATAGGAATACTAGGAATAAGTAAGATAGCAAAATTGCACATTTTATGGTGGGACTGGTGGGAGCTTGCTGCCGCCATCCCATGTACCGTTGGAAAAGAGCGTACATTTTGCAAATATACTTATCCGGCTTATAATTTATGCTCCGCAATATTTTTCGGCTGCGTAATTCTCGGCCGCTGCTGCATCGCGAGTAATACGCGCGGCTTTTAGTAGTCGGATATATGGAGATGCGAACACGCAAAACCCGCCAGTTAAATGCATATCATAGTTGAAAAATCAAAAATCTTTAATACCGGCGTATATCCAGAGATACTTACGACAGCGTGTGTCGCATTCGAACGCTACGACAAAACGATGATCTATAACGTCGTATGTTTTACATACTACTGTAAATATCTTTAATTATTGCATAATTCAACCTTATCGGTGATTACGCGTAAATCTCTGATTGTTGCTAAATTATACCTTAATGAAATTAAATAAGGCTCAGGGTCTTTATGTCTCCGATATCGTGTTTACATATATAAAAGCATGAAAATCGACACTAGCTGAACGATAGAAGGGGCGACATATGTGAAATCAACAATATGAATAAATAATAACAATTTAATTGTTCCGAGCAAAAAATTTGTTAAAATGGTCGATATGATTCGCAAGCTACAAAGAATCGGAATTTCAACCAGTTCCGTGGTGACATCTATATGGTATATCTGTTAGGTCTCTTTGTACTGAGAAGATAAGACGGATCGCTGACTTATCATTATGTGCAACTGTGTATGTACTGACAATGAGATGCATTTCGCTTTACTTTTTTTATTCTGTAGAAAACATTTGTTTTATATTATTTATAAATATTATGCAATACCAATGAGGCAGAAGGACATTATCTATGGCGCTTTATTTAATGATTATAATAAATGTTGCTGTCGGGCTAACGTCTAGCACATTGAAAATTAATTGCAATGTACGTCACATACATGCAATATACTAAGTGTTTACAAGTTTTTTTGGGGCAGGTTTTCTTTTGAACCTGCGTCGTTTCGACGATCTTCGATTCGTCAAATTACGATAACAATGTATTTTCAATTCCCGGATTTGTTCTTCCAAATTGGACAGTATAGAAGTCATCTTCATATCGCATATTTCTATGTTTTTGTCCGCCAAACTAAAAAATAATATGACGCTACATTATTAAACATAATTTCAATTTTCGATGCTATAAGTTACGGAAAAATATATTTTACGCAAATTGTATAATTCATACTTATCGTTCTTGAAGGATGTCTTGGTGGCTAACAAAAATAAAGCTTCTATTAAATCGGCGGGAATCTTAGGAGGCGATTCCGTAAAATGACTCATATGATGAAAATAATTTTCACGAGAGACCAACGTAATTTTTGTGGGAATATCGCGTCTCGAGTGCAACAGCATTCTTAAGCGAGGATGTAGCCAATTGCTGCGAAAGATTCTGTGTGACGTCACCCTCTCTAAATGTGCGACAAATTCTGCTTGTTTTAGTAGTCGACGTATGTGGCCCTAGTGTGACAATATTAATTCCGATGCTGATTAATCCTGCAGACTAATCTGCATATCGATCTATTGTATACAGCTTAATTTAACTTGATTTAGCTTAGTGTAGCTTTTGGCAATTAAGAGTTCGATTTCTAAACATTCGTATATCCTACCTCCTTCTCGAGACCTTGAATATCGTTGACCGCCAAACCGATCATGAGATTAATCAAAACGATACTGGCGAGCATAATGAAGACGAAGAACACAATTCTGCTTGTAACTGGTAAAAAAGTACCGTTGTCATTCTCGGTGCTGTTTGACTTGTTCTCTTTGAACAGGTCCTCGTACTCGTACTCGCCCATCATCATTACCATAGTCCTTACGATAGTCTTCCAGAAATCATCAAATTGATCGTTTCCGTGAAACAAAACTACAAAACTCAACGCGAATCCGACAATCAGGTAGCCAAACGCCAGGAGAACCTGAAAGGAAATAAAAAGAATATATATTGTTTTAATAGCAAGAGTGATACGCGAAATGGATTCTGATGTGATATCATCGACGCAATTTTTTCAAATCCGGATTCGTTTCTCCGATAATTATATTTATAGTCACATTTGTTGTTAGAGAATTCGTCATAGCAAGCGCGAGGATTACTAAGCTGAGCGATAAAATCTTGAGATGAATAATTATATGCATAAAGGTAATCACAATGCTTGAGTTACTCTCATCCCAAGCATTAGGTTTCTGCTTATATATAAATAGCACGATTATTTTAAAATGGATTTATGAGGGAAAATTTTGAAATGCTAATTATATTTTTGTATTTTGTAATTGGATAGATTTCGTAGAATGTATAAATCATAATAATGTTTACTTAAAGAAAAATAACGGTGCATCAATTGTTTCGTCTAACCTTTAGAAAGTTCTTCAACACCGTGGAAAACATGAGCGCGTAATATCCCCACATTGGAACTCGACCAATTAATAACATCATTTGCATCCAACTCAACAAGATTGCGATGCTGATGGAATGTAGCACCCAGTGCACGCAATGCCGAGTCTCAATTTCTTCCTTCGAACACTTAACAAATTCGCCCGCTATCGATGTCACCAAGGATAGCATGGCGCATATCAGTGATAACCACGTCTCGAGTTGTCGCAAATAATGCCTGAAATGTTTCGAGAATATATATGTCGAGTATAAATCAATTGAAAAAATTCAAATTTTTATTACTCGGAGATGCGCATATTTACTTGGGTTCTAATATAACTTGAATCATATTGTGAAACAAAAGAAAACAGGAACAGGTCGCTAGGATTCTTCGAGTCACCACGTGGTCAGCGTCATGATGTGTAAACATTATAGCGTAGACCGAGAGTGAAATGACGAAGAACAAGTGTACAAGTATAAGAATAAAGAAAAGTATCCTTAATCTCGCCCACTTTAGTCTGAGAAACGTCTCCACAAGTGGATGCTGTAATATTGCCAGTTGCCTTATATCCGAAACTACGGCTATAACGGCCGTAACTACTGCCATTTGCATCTGGTGCTTTGGAGCCAGTATACCGAAGTCAACGGTAATCTTTAACAGAGACGTTCCATTCATTAGAATTCAGTAAAGGCAGCATAGTAGAATAAGAAAGTAGGATATCTGTATCTGCACGTAAGAGTCTAACGGGAGACGTAAAGCGATCCTTACATTCTCGTATTTCTCCGAAGGAGTATTATTGGCCGTTCGTACGCAAGAATCCAAGATATCTGTTAAAAAGGCCAATGGTCGCGAAATATGAGCGAATATAGCATCAACGACGGTGACACCAGTCTTCGTCACGGCGGCTAAATTAGCTCCATGATTGATTAAAACTCGTACGCACTCGCGATGTCCCTGATAAGACGCTCTATGAAGAGCCGTACGATTGATCTAATTGTAAGTGGATAATACAAGAAAGCAGAGAGATATAGTAAGCACAGAGATGTAGAAAGTAATATACATTTTTGTCTTGTAATTTCGTCTGTTATACTTAAATTGTAGCATTCAGTATAGAGCTGACCTGATCGCGCGTATCAATGTTATGACGTTGCATTACTTCAAGTAGAACCATTAGTGTCTCGATACTCCCTGTACTCGCGACGATATGTAGAGGCGTGCTTCCGGAGCTCTTGCATTTATACATTGGCCATGCACCATTTGACAATAATATCTTCGTCGCTTCGGCACTACCTAGCATCGCTGCATGGTGCAAAGCAGTGGTACCTAGTAGAGTTGAACGTGAATTATATTATATTTATCTTTGATTCACAATTGATATATACATAGATGTCATTAAAAAAATTTTTTTTGGCAATAACAGATTTCTCATCAAGTATGAACGATGATATAGCGCGATTCTATCGATATTGCGTAACGCTCGATTGATATTAACTAATACCCGTGTCCGGATGAATAATGTTCACGAACACCTTCGCGGCGACCAGAATCCTAACGATCTCGACAAACTTAGTCATCTCATTGAGATCATCGCGATTCACCGCGCTTCCTGCCAAGAGCAACGGAGTAACCAGGCACTCGTCTTTAACGTTCACATCCGCACCGCCTTCCACCAAAACGCGCACGACGTCTGCGTGATTATTTTTTACTGCCTGGTGCAACGGCGTTCTTCCCCAGCACACGGGTAACGGCAACTAAAACGAAGCATCGAAAAAGGGAGCTGTTTTTTTTTCTCGGGTTTAGTAAAAATTCGCGAATTATCTTTGCGGTACGAACTTTTCTTCCTACGAGTAAGCATTTTGTCAGCGAAGAATATGGGATGTTCTTGGTACACGAATAGATACCGACTTTAACGTCGATGTGCCCTCCGTGTTGAAGAAGCCACTTTGTCACGTCAGTATTACCGTTGTGTGCCGCATAATAAAGGGCGCATCTACCAATTTTATCCATACTGTTTATGTCGGCGCCTTTTTTGTAGAGTTGATTCAACAGATCAATATTCCCCTGCCACGCAGCCATGTGCACGGCTGTCACTTGAAGAGCACCCACCGGACGCACATATCTATTTTTGCTATCACGCGCCAAAATTTTACTCGCCTCGTCGAACTCTCCATTCTCGATCGCTAATATAAGCGCGATATGATCCGGATCGCATTCATGCATTACGATTTTTCCGTTTTTTCTTGCGTCAACGATATAAATTGATCGGTCTACGAGTCCAAGCATCTCTAATGCTCATAAGAAACTGACGCACAATGCGCGTAATTAACGAGAACATCTAATCATTATCTGCCGGATGTGGCACGCAGGGGATATGATAATGTTCTTTATTTGGATATGATTTTATTTTAATTGTTAATTTACGTCAATAGCTTTGGTCAAAGTATTGATAAAGTATTGATATTAAAATAAAAATCCGTGGCTTGTAAATAACTATAAATTGACATATAATTATACAGATTTTTGGATTTCTGTTCAGCTGTTACCGAATAAAAATCTCGCAGTCTATTAGGGTGTCTAGTGCCTATACAATACGCATTACAAAAAGTGAAGACTGCAGTTGAATTTTTAAACGGTAGCGAATAACTTTCGACCGAATATTTGTATAATCTCGTTAAAATAAATTCCAAAATTTACAGCGGCATTTCCCACATCGCCCTCTGGCTACGTTCTGCACGGCGTAGCTCCCCGACCCAAATTCCGATAATTAATTAATTTCGCGGGTATCACGTTGCAGTTTTATGAGTAAATACCTTCGAAGCGAGTGCATTCCGTTGTTCGATACTTCGAACAGCTCCGTTATTCGCGCATAATCAAACTATCGATCTGGATACTCGTGAATCTCGTTGCGTCGCGCAGTTTTGATAATGAATTTGTTCACAATAGCTAACGGGATTACTCCGGCGTAACCGAAGAAAGTAAACGAACGCAAAGTGAACGAAGCCAATGTCGAGCCTGTGTCCGTTACTGCTCGAAGATCTACGTGTACAAGGTGTCCTGAATTCTTCACTTCTTTTGCTTTCTTTTGCTTACGGATTTTCTTTCTTATTAATTTAGAATTTTTCGTAATCAATCTTTTTGGCCAAGGTTATTTACGTTTCGATATTTTCTATAAGCAAAATTGTTTATAGAAATTCTTTTTAAATAAAAAGAATCTACAACGAAAGTGCATCCATTTATATACGAACACGCGTACACGCTCGCACACGAGATTGTATAACGACAGGCAGGTAACGTTTGCCCGACACTTAAACACTGCATGCGGCCGTGGTTGAGCTTTCGTCGTGTAGGTATTCGTGCAGCCGTTAGCCTTAACACACGTTCATACGCTCAATCAACTGGAGAGCGTTGCGTTACCTTGCCGGGCTCTCAGACGACTCAGACTCGGGGCCAGTACGCGTCTGACCACGCCGCTGAAAGTATCTTTCTGTTACACGCACAGCCTCGTCAGGCTAGAAGCCGGTTCTTCACAACATATAACGAAATGCCGAATTGTCCAAAGTGCGACAAGCCTGTGTACTTCGGTAAGATGATTATTATTTTCCAACGTTGTTACAAAACATTGAAACCAGTAAAATTTGAATGAGTTGAGTTTTCGATGCTGCCGATACGAAGAATTGTAATTTGTGCTAATCATCGTGAACAAAGGTTATTCTACATGTCCGTAGCATTAAAAGTTAAATTACCGAAATGGAATATATCTTGATTTACAGAACGTGGCTCTTATATTACATTTCCTATATATTCGCGATATTCTTTTATATGTGCAAGAATGAAAGTATAGAGAACGCTGTGAAAGTGACACAATTTTATTTCCCATATTTTTTTGTTTGGATGCTGTCGTTTCATAAACGTGGTTACATAATAAATTATTGCATCGATCGTTTATATAGCGCAGCGAAGAAAAGAGGTTATTGAGTATCTCGTATTGATAAACGTACGATGATCACAATCCCCACTTCATAATAAGTATATATCACTTGATAGAAAACGATCGAAGCGATATATACGCGTACGTAATATGCTTTACATTTCGTCCAAATTTAGCTATAAAGAATATATAGCCTATCACTTTGGTCTTTCTGGAAGATACAACAGGAGTCACATTTATAAACGTGACATATTATTGTTAAACGTCAATGCTACAATTTTTGTGTGCTATTATATTTTATTTTGACTTTTCTCAAAAGTATCGCGCGCGCGCACGATAAATTATAATGAAATCAATATATATAGTACAAAATATACTTTTCAACTTTTCTTGTGTCTGGATTTATAAGCCTCGAGTTGTATAAGAAAGGCATAAAATATCAGACGAACATAAATATACTCGAAATGGTAAACGCGCGGTGACGACATCAATGATATCATTGAACGACCTCGGAATCCACCACGGCAAACATTATGTCAGTCTGTTTCACTGTATACAGGCTCTCGAGTTTACTACGAGCGAAGTGAATGAGTAATCCAGTCAGTTTCTATAGAATAAACTCAACCCGTAGTTGTGTAACAGGAGTTGCACCTGCGAGAGAGAGAGACACCGCGTATTTACATGAAATTAAGTCTACGGTAACATCGTACTCTCGTTTCACAACAAGTGACTTCTACGCAATATTTTCTATCGATGCGTGCCACGATTCGACTTTATATCAGCTTTACTTGGAAAATCAGCTAACCATTATTTAACGATACTTTTCCAAAACGAGGAGACGACCTCGAAACCTCCTTAAATGCACCTCGGTATTACACCGCACGTTGTAACTTGTACCACAAGTTAGTAGTTGGTAAAATGCTGCGATAACGTTATCTATAGTCGACTATGCACTTTAAGGTGCGCATCACGCATAGTAACTTTGCTTAATCATAGATAAACAATATGGATAGGTAATTGCTATATAGTATTATGCATTTTTTTATTCAAAGCATTTCTAGATTTCAAAACTGTTGCCGCTACAAAAAAATTAATATATATTTTTAATTTATCTCATTCTATTAATAAATAAAAGCACGAATCTAAAAAGACGTGCGCGAATTTTGTGTTTAGACGTGCATTTTTAATCGAGCTTTTGCATTCTGAGTTTTTTTTAAAGCTGGTAGCGGATTGCGTTTTTTGATGCGTCACAAACATATATACATATATAAAATAAATATCGTTTTTTTCTGTATAAAATGCTCGAAAATAATAATATGTAAATTATTGGAACTCTTTACATAAATAATTGAATTACACTTGTATGTTTGCATTTTACCGAATAATTTTTTCTACATATATGTATGTACAAAAAATTGTTCAAAGTTATTGTGAATATATGTATGACCTTGAGAAAAAATTTATGCATCATATTTAAATGCATCGCATAGGAAACTATCATGTTAATGCAAAATAAAACGGAGAAAAAAAGATAGAAAATAATCATGACGCGAGAGACGGCAGGATGAGGAAAAAAACTGCATTGGACGAACGTCGAGTTGCGCCGAGTTGTAACAGCAACAATAAACTGTCCAGCCGTGAGGATAACACAAAGGAAACATAGTATATCGCGCGCGCATGGATACTAATAATAACACAGACACACGAAACAGGTTTTGAGAGAAGAATGGTCAGGTCTCGTAGTCGCAGTACGAAAAGGTAGGAGGAGGAACTACGAAGAGAGGAGTCAGTCGGTTTCCGCCGCAACCCCCGCTGCAAGGGAGGAGAGATGCGAGATGCGAGATGCGAAATCCGAGCGGTTTTTCTGGGGCCCTCGAAGGGAGGGGAGAAGGGATACGATGGTGTGGACGGTGGTTTGAAAGGAAATGAGCGCACGGCGCCGCACGGGATGATGCACGCGTGGGTGAGGAGATCGCGGCGAAGGCAGGGGATGGTCTCTGCCGACGAACAGGGGAAAAAAAGGAATGAAGGAATGAAGGGGCGTAAGGGCCGGGGAATGAAGTTCCGAGTTCCGAGGGTCTATGCAATCAACGGTGGTGGCCGATTGTTTGGCGCCTGGGCGCAACGATTCGTGGTTACGGTACTGTCTCTACCTTTTCGCACACTGCCGGTGCGGTGCGCAGCACGGCGAATGCCGCTGACGATTATGCACTCGCTTCTCCGTCGCCAGATAATTAGGAGTTAATTAACTAATGGCCCTTTATGCGCGTACCCTTCTTAACCGCGATACACTGCGCGCGTTCTCGTTCTCTTTCTCTCTCTCTCTCTCTCTCTCTTTCATTTCTCTTTTCACTCTCTCTTCTCCCATACGTTGCTATTCCTCATTCTCCACTACACCTTGCTTTCACCGACGCATCCTTTCCTCCCCGATGCACCCACTGCGCTCGTCTCGTCATTTTCCAATTTCCCTCGCTGGCGCTACCGCCCTTTGTGCTTCTTCTTAGACACGGTGAAGCGTTTGAATGCAACCACCAGCCCGCTGCGGTTCTTGCTTCATTTTTTGTCTCTCCTGCGAGGTTTGATATGCCGTAATGGCGCGATATGCTGCCGCGACGCAACGGAGAAAAAGAGAAATCGGTTTTCGGCTTTAGCGAGTCTTTTGTCGAATTGTTGGTTATAAAACGCGCGAACCATATATAAAAATAAAGATATTAGAAGTCAATGAAATGTCAATGGCAGGCGTAATGCTATAGACTATAATAGAGTCAACAACACTTAGCAAATCGTATTATAAACTGAGACTTATCTTTATCAAGATATTTAATTTCATACACGATTTAATCTTATCTGAATAACTACACTGAAAACAGACTAACGCAGTTTTAAAATGATGAATCTATCCGCTTATTCTCTCATTTAAAAAACAAATGTGATCAAATATTATCTTTACAAATATTTAAAATTAATAAGTCAGAATTAATTTAAGGATAAAACATAAATAAAATTTAAGAATTTTAATATTTAAAGGAATTTTAAAAAATTTTTGGTATCTTAAAAAATATAATATCAATTGATTCTCTCTCGTTGCTTTCTCGTTAGTATCACTGCATCTTTCTTTCAGCAGTTCTATTGTAAACATGTCCCTTTCGCGCGAAGGCGAAAGACACACACATACACACATACTAATGCAAATTTTCGTAGATGCATCTGGGAATTAACTGAGGTACATGTATAATGTGACTCGCATATGAGGGGTTTAAGAATGTTTTTTTCAAAATCCGTCGGCAACATGAAATTCTTTGTGAAATACGTTCGGAGTGTACGTGTTTCGCATTCGCGCCTTTAATGAATAACTGACAACGATCCCATCGGGACTTCGACATTGGATTTTCTAATTACGAAATTGCTAATGGGAGAGTTCGTTCTCGTCATTCTCAATTCAGACGACGCGACATTGCATTTAATCTACATGGAGTTTATTCTTTCGGATTTTAGGTCGCTGGAAATAATTGACAGTTAATCCGATGTAATATTGTTAGATAAATCAATTTTTTTATTAAATAAAAATATTTGTTTTTTGTGTTGCCCATCTTTCAGGTCTCGTTATCTTACTTTATTTTATATCATTCCGTCAACATTACATCACACACAAAATTTTTCATCGTTCTTTTTTATTACCTAATATACATATATGTGTCCGATAATTTTTATCTCTTTCAGCGATCACCTTTGCGCCGGCAGAGGCACATGTGGGAAATGATATTCTAATGCGAATACCACATTACCGTAGGAACATAAAATTAAATATGGGAAACGCGACTAGTTCCGCCGCGGTGTACCGCCTTTTACGTTACACCGAGACGGACGCGTTAACATTCATCTTGTGTTGCAGCCGAGAGGAAGACATCCTTAGGCAAAGATTGGCACGGTTCGTGTTTACGCTGCGAGAAATGCAATAAGACCTTAACACCCGGGGGTCATGCCGAGCACGAAGGGAAACCCTACTGCAATCACCCTTGCTATTCAGCTCTGTTCGGTCCAGGAGGTAAATGGAAATTTTCGTCTCGGTTCGAGCGATGCGCTTCGTTTCCTCTAAAACTGCTTCATATTCAAAACCCTTCGTAGAACATCGCTGTCCTGCATTTAATATATTAAATTAATATGCATCTTATTTCATCTGTTTATACGCGTATCTCATTGCTCTTTATACTGTTTTCAAATTAGGTTTGCAGTGCTTCTAATATTGCAGGTTCGCGTAATGAAATGATCGCTGTTATTGCAGGTTTCGGACGTGGCGGTGCTGAAAGTTATGTTTACAATAAATGAAGTGTAAATGTAAAAGCAGTAATGTGTACTTCAATTAAGACAATTATACAATTTCGAATGCAAGGAGCAGTTGGACACTTAAATATAAAATAACGATCATTCTGGTTATTTATGTATACGTAAATATCTCTATTTTCTACAAGAATTTCAGGAATGTATACGGTATTAAATATAATAACGGTGCTATATAAGAAGAAAATAATTATATGTTCTATCTATTTACCACTATCCCATTACCCATGCCTATAATTGATCTAATATCTAGAACGGGGATAATACAGATTACATGTTCTATTATATACGCATGCGATACATTAGGCTACGGCTACATAATGCCGATAAAGGAGAGATGCACGTTCACGACTAGAGATGCGTTGCCATCACGTACAGTTAGCTCAGAATAAATAAAGATTTTTCATATAAAAACATAAGCAATGTAACGCAACATTTTGTTGTCTCATAATCTTAGTTATATCTTTCTTTTTATTATTGTATTAATTATATTGATTTTTTTCTGTATTCTCTATAGGAGTATTTATTGCTGTAAACAGATGTCGCCAAATACACTTTCACGAATTATTAATAAACTTTATATTGTAATTTTACAAAGTATCGATTTTGATGTAAATCAAAACAGAGTTTGTTTAATATTGTGTTATAATAACAAGAAAGATAGCTTTATTTTTCACTTTTAATAGCTTTATTCACATTTATTTAGCATTTTTTTTGCAAATGTATTTTATGTATTTGTTATATTTGCTGATTTTATATTTAACAAAATTGATATTAGTGGTAACTTTTTGTTTGACTTTTATTTTTTATAAGGTATAGCACGAGGTATAGAAGGACGATAGTAATTTTCTTCAGATTCTCTTATTCAATATCGATTTAACTTACAAAATGGAAATATTAAATTATTTTTAAAAAAGATATTTTATATATATAATTATTTTTAACAATACTTTGGCAGGTATTTGATCTCTACAGCAATTTAAATTAGTCAAATGTTAAATTTAAAAATATTTACATGAAAAATTGAATTAGGGAATTAGGTGTAAAGATGAATTTCATATATATATGTATATATATAAACCTCATATTTATTTAAAAAGGATGTACAGAGTTTTGTTTGCAAGTATCAACAGCGAGACTCGGCAAGAGCGGCGCACGGAACAAGAATATCACACGGAACAAATAAAATAAAATGAGATAATGTGTGCTCGATTAAAAATGCGCGGCTGCGGCATTCGAGTCGAAATCTCAGATTCGCAAATGTATAATTCGCGCAAACGAATTCGCAATTCGGCTCATCGCTCGAATGCCGCACACAGTCGTTTTTCTCTTTGTATCTTCTATATTCAATTCCATATTACAATTGTGCTTTATCGGCTTTTCCTCCTATGGAGACTATAAAAACGTTTACTGCAATATTGCTCTCTCAACGGATTCTTTGGCAAAACTTATTACACATAGGTCATCATTACAATTAATAAATAAATGTATTAAATAATATAATGATGATGATAATATAATAATAATAATAAAATATAATAATAATGATAAAATAATGAAAATAGTGAAAATAGCAAATAGAATAATAATTAATAATCAGAGTCATTACGATAATAGCAATAAAGTAACAATGTATAAGTATGCAAAAAATCGTACCGAACATCGGACACAATGATCTAGCCCATATTTGGCCAATTGAAATTCAAACATGTATCTTTTGCATGCACGCGCTAAATTATTCCTCGAATTTTTTTTTTTAAGTGTGCCTTTCATTTAGCAGCAATGCCGAGCTGGAAAAATTGTCGCTAAGATTGCAGTGCGAAAAAATCTGTCGGATCGTTTTTAGCATCTGCGTTTTTTCCTTTCTGCACGGCTTTATATCACGTTATCGTGGCACATTATAATTGTAAGCAATAAATATCATAATTGCGGTTTGAATTAGCAATTTAAAGATGTAATTTGCAATCGCTAATTTTACCTTTATGATAAATCAAATTAAATTGCAAATTGCTAAAGAGCGTAACACAGACAGTGGAGACAAAATGATTTTCGCAACAAATAGTACAGTTTAATTATTTGATAAAAGGCGATCGACACGGACGGAACATCGCGCGAGAGAAATTTCAAAACTTTTATCGATTGACTGGAAATCAATAACAATAATTTAGATTTTGCGAGCACGCTTTGGATCGACACATCTAATGAGTTGAAAGAACGTTTTATATCGTTATTATACTCGCTATTTAATTTACTGTTCCCTTCATTTCAATATGCAATATTTGGTTTACTAGCGCATCTCTTTTGAATGTGACTAGAAATTGTCGGATTGCGTAGAATTGTCAAGTAATTTTCAATCTACAACATTATCCGGCAAGCTGAGTAAATTCGAGACGCATGAAATCTGTAGCGCGTGCCGCTGAAGCATCAATAATTAACACGGTAATTAAATCAGAGAACGCGCGTGCGCTTGCGAACGTAATTTCTCATTAAAAATCTCCGACGCTCGGCGCTAATTGCGCTTCGTGATAATCTTCTCCGGCGCGTTCCGCCCGACGACGAACGGGAACCAGTACGACTTCCGCCCCAAAGCGGAAGCGTGGCGAATGCGTTGAACGGAACGGGAGAACGAGCGTGATCGCCGAGCTGTCGAGGAAGTGTCCACGCGCCGACTTGTGCTAATTATCACGAATAAGAAAGAACGTTCTCCGTACAATGGCGATTAATATCTCGACATGACTCGCGGTTAGTATGTACTTACCTCGACAAAATTAAAAATAAATTTAAATAAAAAAATATCAATTCTCTGAATCTTTTAGTAACGAGCTACCTTTGAACTAATTACGATTTTTTTGTTCAATTTTTATGTCGATCCTACACGCCGCTCGCGATTACGCATTAATTATCCGTGTGAAAAGGCCGCTCAAAACCGGCGCAAAGGTCACGCTTTTTTGCCGCAATTGCGCGACGTGCTCGTTCGTTCGACGATCCGCATGATGTAAATGTCGTATGTCGGTGCGTGCCTGCGTGCTGCGGGGCGTGCGTATGTACGCGTGTGTACGTGCATGTGTTGGGTTTACTCGCGCGTGTGTATATGGTCTTTGGTTTCTACAAAAAATATATATAATATCCTTAACAGTAGTGATCATTACGGTCGACTCCTGATTTAAAAATCTCAAACTTATCGTGTTATACTTTACGATATTCTTAAGGGGGTGAAAGGTCGTTGTGCCTACAGGAGAGAAAAACGTGCCGTTGGGGCGCTTGACTTTGTTTACACGAATTATATATATATAATATATATATTTTTTATTCTTATTTATATATGTTCAATTTATATATATTTACATGGTCAGCGACTATATTCGCCACGCAAGCGCGCGCTCGCGAGGGCGGTCACGACCACCGCGTGGAAATTATACTAACTGAGGATATCATTAAATTAAACTACCTATCGTCGCGGCTCTCCAGAGAGCGGGCGACGCCGTCTTTAACGCTTTCGAGCATTCGAGATTCACTCGCATCGCTGCCATTAGCAATTAATTGATTAATTGATTGATTAAGTCGATCGACCGATGATTCTTCGGATTCTTCGGATTACGATTAATAAATAAAACGTAAAAGGGAACGTTATATTGCAAAGAACGGCAGCGACACGAGGAAACTCTGTACGCCAATGCTCTGATGTGACCGTCACTCGTCAAGCTCGTTTTACACGAAATCACGTCGCGCGCTCATCGATCAGATCAAATTCCCAAGTCCTGTCATCCATTTTGAACGCGATGGAATTCAGAACTCCGAGCACAACTAATCCTAGAGTCGTTTTAACGTTTCTTGTCCAAAAACGCCACTTATCCAGATTCATCGGCGTGAAGAGTGTTCGTCGAGCTATCCTAATCTTCTTCTTCGACATATTTAATCTTCCCCGTGGATTTATTGGTATCCTTCGCACTCCGAACTTTCCATTGCGCATTCCCGAAGCGGTTAAAAGGAGATCATTGCTAAATTTCGAGATGGTGTCTCTTGGTGATATGGCGTCCATCGCAACTCGTTGTCTCTCCGCTGATCGTTGGGAGACGCTCGATCAAGAGTTCTCCCGTCGTGCGGTTCGACCATCAAGCCAGATAGAGGTCCGTCGGTGTGGCGGAGGTGTGGTCCGGCTTGGTGCAGGCGCTTCCAGTCGGCGAGGCTGCGCTGGCCCCGCTGCTAGCCCTGGTAGCCGCCAGAGGCGAACGACTAGCCACATCGGCGCTGCTTTCCGGAGCACCGCTAGTGCAACCGCCACCGCCCTGCTGCGACGTATGGGTAGTTGTGTCTCCGTTGCAATAGTAGTACGTGGAGTCTACAACGAGAAACGATTACGTTTATCGCGCGTGGAATTTGCTGGTTTCTCTATACCCTGCTTAATATTGCGCGGCAATTCGCGATATCGAATTTTTGTCACGTGTATTATACCTGCTAATTTTACAGGCTCAATTAATGTTGTATCCGCGAATGAGATATTTGCTTACGTCGCATGTTTCACGTTTCGTGCGCAATTTGTAACGTTGCATATTTAGCCATGTTTTCGCCGCAACAACTTTTCCCGTTCTATTTATGTACGTGTACGTCTACTTGTACATGTACGTATCGCGCAGAATTAAGATGGAGTAAATTGTTTTCCGCGATGCGCCTATCTAATTTTTGCGTTTAATTATAACATTCACGTAACGCTCGCGTGGAATATCAAGAACGAGGAGAAATAAGCTGAGTGTGCGCGGGGAAGTGAGCGAGAGCGTTGCGATATCGCGAACGGATCTGCATTACGTGTTACGAGGTACGGGTTAGCGTATCGCGTGTCCGATAGGAAAAAAAGCGGTTTATTATTCTATTCATTTCTGCACGCGCGATGCGCGCTCTCTTCTAGTGTGCTTGCACCTCGAGGTATCGCGATCTCGGTTTAATGCCGCCAATCTTGTACGTTATGAGGGATAGGCATCGAATCGGGATTGTATTAGAACCGGATGGAGAACGCGACGTAGCTCCTTACGGGGAACTAGTTCGGTGTTATCTGATATGAATCGAGTTGCAACTCGCGTTAACGAGGAACGAGGCTAGGAAATTCTATTTAGACCGCGAGGAATTGTGTCCGCGTGCGCGGTTATATGTATGAGCGTAACCGGGAATAAGATTTTTGCTAGGTCATATCTTTGTGTATCGCATTCGTGTACAGTAATTCCTGCAGGATAGAGAATACGGTTGGCTTTCGCGCGTTTATTACTTAGACTTATAGATCAAGTAATAAACGTTGATTTCGCGAACGGTTGTGTAATGGCCGGCCGGCTTAGCAACGTTATCAATGGCGTTACCGAAATATCAGTCTACCTTGCTAGTGTTTTCGTATTTCGATGATCCTAATCTAATCGGTACTCATACTCACTGTTTACTTACTGAGCAACCCGCTTGTCGCTGCTCCATAACCATAGCCACTGTACGGTGCACTTGAATACTGGGAATATGCAGCGCTATACGCGTAGTCGCCACCACCTGAACAAAAGTCGACGATAAGCTGATTAATGCGGGCTGACAATGTCGACGTTTCTAAAATTAGCACATTATGTTAATGTCTTAATTGATTCTCGAAATTGGTCTTCCAGGTAAACTCGCGCGAAAATGCGCTAAAAAATAAATTAGATTCTCGCGCGCAGTTTGACTTTGCACGATGGAAACATAGTTCAACCGAAATAGTGGTTATTGCTGTAATTGATGCTAAACGATATAACTACAGCAATTATTAAAAAAAAAAAAATATGTTTAATTCTTGTATATATATTTAATTTTGCGAGTAATACATAAGATAAAAAAAGACATTCCAATTACATATCAATTAACATCATCATGGTATTCTATTCTCCATTGGTACGCGACTCTGTTTCCAATGGATAAAACTACCCTTCTGACAAAATTGCCGTTGCTCATCACCCCGAACTGGTAAATCAGCGCTCCTCAGACAGAGCTCTGACTTACCCTCCGAATGTACCAGGGCCAGGCTCGGTTCAACCCTTCAACCCCCGGAGGGTATACGAGCGCGCTTGTCCTTGACGAATGGTTAAGCAAGCGGTTTTTGGTTGTACTCACCGGTGGCGTAGTGTCCGAAACTTGGGAGCATCGTCGAGTACGGCGGTATCGCAGAGGCTACTTGGGGCTGAGAAACTGGCGGCTGCAAGACCGTCAGTCCGGGATCCCCTCCGGGGGTGTTGGGGGCCGCGGGGGTGGCGTTTGTCTCGTTCTGCAACGAAATCGGGGGACTTTGCTCGCCCCCACCGGCCCCCACCCCGACATACGATACTGCGACGGTACTGCTCTCTGCTATGGCCATGCACAACACAACACGACATTCGAATCAAGCACTAGCTAACGATCAGCGCCTTACGTCTAAAGCTTAATTAAACTGTTTTGGTGGGGACCGGGAAAAAAGTCGGGATTTGAGGGATCTTATTAATTACTTTTTAGAATTATGTCTCTCACAAATACAACCAGTTTCTGTTTAAACATTCTTTCATTTCTTTTATTTTTTTTTATGATTCCGTTCAATGTATAAATGGCATTTAAAAAAATTAACAAAAATTTCATACAATCTTAGTCTGAAAAAAATTTTGTACATTTTAGAACAGAAAATTTTATACAGGCCAAAATTAAGAGTGTGCTATTACTGTCTGATTTCAACGTATAATACAATGGAAAGAGAAAAAAATAAGAAAGAAAAAGAATGTTATTTCTTTGCGATGTATGCCTCGTATATATTTTTTGATTCGTTAGACATAAAATACAAATCACATTATCGTGGGTATAATAAAGGATTTTTCTGGAGAACACAGGAGATGCCGCGCTTAATCTCGCAGTAAGTTAACACCATAAACACTCGATGTGGTAGTACACACTTGAGATGTGGACATATTAGTTGGACACGCGCATATCTGAGAGAGGCTTAATAAAACCTTATGCTCAGCGAAACAGGTGTACATGATTCGGCACAACCGTAAGAAAACTAAAGAGGTGGCGAACTCACCGGTGGTGTGGTAAGGAGACATGTTAGCCCCATCCAATGTTTGGCTCAATTTTAGTTCTTGCATCGTCAGTGGCGCGAGCGGCGTCAAAGTACCACCTGCTATTAAGGGATCCCCATTTTTCCGTTATTGCGGTTCTCGTATCGTCGACGGCCAATCAAGGCGGAACGTTAAAAGATTATTTTGTCGCGGAGAATGCCCCTATATTTTCAACTCAAGAGTGCGTTACTTATAAAAATCGTTGTGAGAGATAGCGAGAACATTTGTAGCGCAGCTAATTTCTTCGCGTCTATGGATATATAAACTATAATACTCAATAATATAAACTATACAAGTTCAAGTACTTCCGCGTACACCCTTGACCAAGCACTTTACTCGCGATACTGCTATATATTAACGACGGTGCAGCAAGCTGCGATTGCGACTTTGACCGTTTATGTTGGTCTTCAAAAATACTTCGATCCGGGGCGAAGATCCTCGATTGAATTTCATGAGATGAAGCCACCGTTACACGCCTCGCTTCGTCCATTCCGAAAAGCACCGATCGGGAGAATTCGCGGCGCGACGCGGCGTGACCGAGTTGCTCGCAACACGTGCCATCGGAGAAAGTTCCGTTCATGTGTTGTGCACCACGTTCGGCGCGGTTATATACTTCTCAATACTTTGTACCGTCTGTATACGTTCCGCCGCTGATCGACCGCTTTTAAACGGCGTAAGAAAAGTAGAGAGCGAGATGAAAAGTGGAAGAATGAAAGACAGAGAGCGTGAGAGGGTGAGTATATGTGTGTGTGTGTGTGTGTGTGTGTAAATGTAATATGAAAAGGACATGGGTAAAAAGATCCGCGAACAAGAGATTTCGGCGATCCCACTTAGATAATAGATAAGAAGAGAGACACAAGTATAGACCAAGAGAGAGGAGAAAGAGAAGGAAGAAAGTCGGCTGATGAGAGAAGTGAGAGCGGTATTCCCCAAAGCTGAAAACGCCGAACCACCGTGTGGAGCCTTCCGCCACCTCTTCTGCTGCTGCTCGGTACAGCTCATGCATTATTAAAGCCATGTATTTAGCCGATATGGGTATGCAAAGCAAGACGTAAGCCGCAATAATAAGCGTACTGGGAGGAAACGAGAGAGGAAGGGAGAGTAGAAAGAGACAAAGAGAAAGAGAGAGAGAGAGAGAAAAAAGAGAGAGAAAGAGAGGTCTTGGGCGCGATGAGAGAGTAGAAGGATAGGAAACGAGAAGGTGGTGGTACGGGACACGGCGTTACGTACAAGAGGTTGTGGTGTACACACTATCTGGGATTTCCGTGCGAGGGGAGGAACGGCAGAGAAAGAGACAGAGGGACCACGCTTGACGGGGATGAGGGGGTGTCGGAAAGTGCCGGAGGGTGCCGGAGGGTGAAAAGAGAGGGAACAAGCACGCTCACCTATGGTGCCCCCTATGGGCGGGGTGTAAAGATGAGGCGTTTGCGCCTGCGTCATCGTACTGATGGTGCCCAGGGAGTCGTACAGCTCGGCGGAGGTGGCAATAGCGTTCCCGGGGAATCCGCTGTGTTCGTAATAACCGCCGCCTCCGCCGCTGCCGCTGCCAGTACCGCCACTGCCATTGCCGCCATTTCCACTGCCGCCGTTTCCACCGCCGTTTGTACCACCGGTCGTACCGCCGCCTCCACCGCCACCAAGCTCGCTCAAGAGCTTGTGCTCGTCCTTGATGCTCCATTTACTCGACCACAGCTGCAACACAAACCGGCGAAACCTGAAGTCGAAGTTCGCGAGTTGGAGGGACATCCGAGAACAAGCGCCAAGATTGACTTGAATGTTGTAGCTCGGCCCGACTCGGTCCCCCGATTACTGCAAGGGCTGGCTGAGAGTTACGCGGAAATTCTATGGAACTTAGCTTGCTTTTGATTGATTAGGGCATTTTAATGGAGATATGCTACCGGGCCTGACTCACTTGCCTGAGATTTCAACTTGATCTGATCTCAATTACTCATGCGGTAATATAGACATTGTAAACAATTTGTTGCGCGATTAACAAGTTTCTTCGATACTTACATTTGAATACAGTTGATCGCCGTTGTAGTTGTTCCTTTGCCTTTTCAAATCATTCTCGGCGTGGTCATTCAGCTCGCGATTATCATCTGTAAAAGTTTCAACAACTGTTAGAGACAGAATTCTTTTTTAATTTGTGGCAACATATTACGAGGATATGTATTGTCATTCAATACTAATCGTTAATAGCGATTCCAATATTAGAGCAACGTGCAGAACGTTCGATGAATGTTATTTCCGTCGGTGTATATCTCGAATTTGATAATTTCGAAACGCGAGAGAAAATGGATCGGCGACGAACCGACGGCACATCAACCGGCGCGATCGCATGTATAGTCATCCACCTACACGCGGACCAGGCGACCAGGCCATATACGCGGCTGGTCTCTCGTATTACCAACGAATCAAGACACAAATTAAACGTGGCCGGCCAAAACTAAATTGAATCTGTCGAGGGCTGGACGCGCGGCGGCGGCGGCGGCGGCGGCGCGGCATGGCTCGCGCGCGTAGACGGCGTATGGCATTGATAGATAGAGAAACAATTTCGATTCTATTATATGTCTTTATTATCTCCCGGCCGTCCCGGCGGTTTAATATAGGAACAGGCACGTGGGACGAGTGTCGTTATTCCGGTACCGAGGGTGTGGGCATCGCGAACCCTTGCCGGGGATGAGGTCGTGAACGGAACCGACCGGTGAGAGGTATAGGGATGGACGGCGAAAAGGGGGGGCAAGAGGGACGACAGGACGGACGCAATGTCGCTGGTGGGGGTATAGAGATAGTCCAACGTTCTGGGGTATCTCGAATAATTAAATGACCATCCGAGGGTGGGACGAGCGGAGTGCGCCTAGCATAGGGCTCGTTAAATCTCCCTGTCAAGTTGTGATTGTCCGGCCGGCCGAGAGCGACGATCCCGACCATTCGAACGGCAGGGTTTGTTCCTGGACCGCTATAAAACCCTCGTTTCAAACACCGGCGGCGGCGGCGGCGGCGATGCCCCGTGCGCTCTCTTCCCGCTCCCGCTCCCGGTCCCGCTCGAATTTTACGATTTGATCGGCCGAGTTAATCGCGGCCGCGCTGTGCCGCGGCATACAGACGCGTACCGCGTTACGATACGGTTTTACTGGAGTTTAGGGCGTTTCCTGGGGACATCGCAGTTCCACTTTGTAATTGGGATTGCACGTGAATCGGATTTCGAGTGATAAGTTAGTAAAACGACAATCGCTACCATGGGCCAATAACAGGTTTTATTACATTAGGGATTAATATTGTTCTTGTTTTTACAAGCGGACGCGCATCATCGAGCGTGTTCTTTTTCAGCAAGTTTATATAAAAAAAAAGAACATATGTAATTATCTCGCGTATAGAACTTATATAGAATAATAATATTGAAGTGTGTCTTCCTCTTTTTTTTTTTTTTAATGTATATTATATAATATCGAAAAGTTAATCAAGTTTCATTCAACGAAGCGTACTTTTATACGAAATAAAATTTGTAGACTTTGAGAAGTCGAAATCGTAGCTGGTCCTCGACTGATTTGACAACGAATGAATTATGTCGCGCGGAAGGAAGGTCAGCGCGTCCCCCGAAAAAGAGCAGTAAATCGAATAACTCGATTGATGCTCAAGAGGGCAAAGCACGCGCTTGCACGAGCGAGCGGGCGAACGGGCGAACGGGCGAACGTTCTCTCGCTCGCGTTATTCGAAAGCAATTGAGTCAATGTTAAGCAATACAATACACGGGTAATAATGGACTTTGGGGCGAATCTGGCCTCGCGGTGTATCCCCTATACGTCCAGGGGATATATAGGGTGGGACACGCCGGGTTCTGGGATTCTGCATGGGGTCAGAAGCGCGCAGATGTAACGCGACAACAAACAGCCCCGATAGATTGCAATGCTTCCCTCGAGAGGTCGTTCGTAAATTCGTAATAAGCTCCGGGATCTTTGGGTATGTCTTGGCTCGTTCGTCGAAGACATAAGACATAAATAATGGCGCGCTGGGACCGCTTCGATTTTTCTCGATCGACGAGTCTCAAATTGTGGGAACATCGGCATTCGTTCGGCAAACTCGATACTTTATAAAGATTCCTTCGACGCGTACCTTTGACCTTTAACATATAGCGTTTATATTGTTAAAATTAACTGAAGCATGGCAAGAGGTATAAGATTCGAGTCGAATCCGATCTAGCCGCTGCAAAATAACAGCGTTTCCACCGCTGGAAAGTTAAAACAGAATCGATCGCGCTCCGTAACATAGTTTTTCCCGTGAGTCTCTCTGGTCAGAGCGTTTCATTAAATTAGAGTACTTGCGGCTAGGTTAACGCGACGATCGGTCGATTTTTACGTTTTGACGGCACGGCACCGAAGCCGGAGGAATGCTCTCGGAACGATCACCGTGCTCGGTCGTTGAAATTCCAGGCGGTTAGGAGGTACGCGTATATACGTACGTACGTTGATACACGCTGATGATCTCCCTGGAGGATAGGGAAGCTAATGTGTCGCCGGGGCCGAGATAGAGAGGAAGCCGTCTGTGGTCTCTGTCTCTCTGTGAAGTTTATAATCTAATACGTATACCTACCCTCTCGGCGCGAGCGCACGCTCGCAAAACATTGAGTGCTCTCACCGCGGACGCGACCACTTTTGCGGCCGCGTATCGCCGCTCTCATAATCCGATTATATTGAATTACCCATGTACCTATCGGCACACTGCGCGCCGCGCGTTCCCGCGTACGAATCGATATATCTCGCCGCGAAACGCGCGCTCGCGGAATTTTGATCGAGCTCACGCGCGCGGTTTTCCCTGCTGTATCGTATCGCGTAACGCTGTGGCTTGCTCGTGTATATACCACAGAATAGAAAAAAAAAACGCCTGTTTCGCGGAATCATCATAATCGAATTAATTTAGTCCCCGATGACACGGGCAGATGGATTAGAGAATTTTTTCGCGCTAACATCTTGGAGGACGCGAAATTATTTTATAGCTCGCAAAATAAATGGCGAATTACTCCGCGAGAGACTCTTGCAACGCGATCGGCACAGAAAACCTCTTGCGAAGCCAAAGCGCCGTCGTCGGTCACGTGTATGCGGCACGTGTCATGAATATTTCGGTCTGCGTTATTCACGCAATGACAGCAGAATGAATCGCAACACGTGCTCGGTGACGTTTGACTGATAACCTTGCTGTGTGTGTGGCTAATCTTGGTTCGCTCGGGGCAATAAGTGCTCCAAGTGACTCGATCATTCGCAAACGAGCGCGTACGACTAGAAAATGCGTAAGCTCAAAACATATGTCCCAATAGACAAATTTCTACATCGGGTATCCATGTGCAAACAATATCGTCGCATATTCTATTTTTTAATTATCGTTTTTATTCCAATCATCGCTCAATGTTATTATATAAGGAATTATTTATACGTGATGTCATATAAGTGAGTAAAAGAGTCACTTATAACAAGATTCATTATTTAAACTATACCTAATCTCTGTCTTTACATGTCCATTTGAGTGGGCAATGCAAATGAATGAAATATAATTCACGAGTCTTAGTGTGACTGAATAAGGTAAAAATTTGAATTTTCAAAAATGAGACTATAAGGACATACAAATGAGCACTGATGGTGCTCGCAATGCCGTAGCACTAACGTCTTTGCGAAATTGTTAACTTCCCCATTATCTGTGCTCTTCACGAGCTAAATCGACTTAGTTTATCTTCGGGACACAACGACAATGACATCATATTTAAATTATATCGCATCTCTAATTTTTACAAGTGACAAATTACTGCCTTATACGATCCATATTTATACGAACATTACTCAATCTCAAGTATTGTTATCTGAAAATTCGCTATTATTTAATTTATATATCTGCGATATTAATAACACTTCTTCCTCTTCATGACGCATGCTTTCGCATCATGCTGTTTCGCTTCGAGAGTTCTGCAAGTTCAGTTGCAATTCGATATCTCAACTAAAGCGATCTCGTGGCCGATAATAAGCATTGGATTCAGTATTGAATAATGTTACACGATGACAGAGCGTAGTAGGTTCGAGAAGATGCGAACGAAGAAGCAAGGTCAGCGACACGAACGAGGAGAGTGACTCACCGTCAACGCTGCGTTTTCTCTTGATGCTGTTGCCATTGGGATCCTGATGATGCGCCGGGATGCCCAGGATGCCACTGATGCTGTAGGCGTTGGGAGCGGTGGCAGCGGGATGACCTGCCACCGTCGCAGGTGCATGTGCTATCACCGACACGGAACCGCCCGATCCCGGCTGACCTTGCTGTTGACCTTGCTGCTGCTGCGCCTGCTGTTGCTGATGCGCGTGCTTCGCCTTCTCCGCCGCCTTGTTCCTCACGATCCTGCGAACAATAGGTCAGGCATCATATAGCGAAACCGCCATGTCACCAAGAGACGCCGTCTTCTCTTTCGTTTTTTCTCTTTCTCGAATTAAAAATCCGAATAAATGACGCCGGCTGGTAATAAATCGCGACAGCGTTCGCTGATCTGAATCTCATTGAAAACGCTTTCGGCAAAGTCGAAGCGTAGACGCATCTACGCTACGCGCGCTGCGTATCTATTAATATACAGTGACTTCATAATGTAACAATGGAGTGGCACAAAGTACCGATTGTTAATTCCAAGTCCATCGGGCGCGGAGCGATTCGCGTTCGAGATTGATGATGAAGCTTGGCATTGTTATGAGACAAGATCTTCCTGTTGAGCGCGGCGGTTTGACTTTTGAGCGCCGCAGTGATAAACGGAGATCAAGATATTGAACTATCGGTCGCGAATTACACGATCACTAATTTGAATTGCGTGGATTGTGAAATAAGTAAAAATTTGAGGGGATGTAACGCGATAAATCAAACGCGTATGTTACATCATTACATTTTTCAATTTAGCAAAGATACCTGTCGCAGAAATATTTCTTCCAAAAGTGATCTCTCTTCGCTTTTTTGACAAGTGCCTGTTAAGCTCGATGCGGAAGAGCAGAACGAGCTGCCACGACGAAAGTAACGATTGTTCATTCCAATTCCATCACAGCCGATCATAAATCCCGACATCGCCGCTTAGAGCGCGAGGCTATGTCCGCTTGACTTTACCACCGATAACCGCCCTATACGATGCCGATCCGCGAGTCACGGGTTACACGATGATTAATTACGATTACGCGGGTCACTTCGCGTACGATCATTCTTCTCGACTCCAATGTATAACCTAGACCTACCTACCGCGAGCGTACACACTTATACGAATATGCTCATCGTTGCACACGCATACGAGGAGACGCGAATCGTTTCATTATTGTTGCCTGACGTCGCGTCGGGGCCGTCGGCCGTTACCTTCGGATAGCGACCAGCGACGTGACTTTGCGAAACTTGGCCGCATTGTATCATAATCGTATCATAATCGTATCGAGGGAGAGTCGCCGCCGCAAATGTAACGGAGTGACCATCTCGACTCTCCCTTTCCTCCACTTCCGTCGAGTACGCGGGGCGTATACACTGGCTGCTTATTATCCGTGATATATTGCGCGTGCGGTTTCAATGGTCAGCAACTCTGCCGACGTCGGTATCAATTATACCGTCGAATATTCACGGCGGAGCACTGTTAATCTCGCGCATGCGACTCGCCGCAAAAGTGCGAAATGTCTCGCGCGAACCAAGTTGCGCGTTTTACGGCGCCAATGACCGGCCGCGCCCGGTACGCCCTTTCGGCCTTGGATGATTTAACGCTCTCCACGGGTCGACTTTTTGCTCCCGTAGGATGCACAGGCCGGCAACGTCCTCGCCGGAACGCGCGCAGCCCGGTGAGGACGAATCGGTGAGACTGTTTTCCAAGAGGCTCGCAACTCGGAGATTTTTATGCGACAGATAAATACATGGAATATGGACTTGGAATTGTAGTATTTCTTGAATAAATTGTCGGTAGTGGCGTTTAAATTTTCAATAGATTTGCACTTTGGATTTCTCAGCAATGACCGTGATACAATCAGCTCGCTTCCTTCTATTAACGAGAATACTAAAAAGATTACTGAAAATGTAAACTTCTTCGTGGAGTAATTCGCAGGGATAGTACGCAACGTGTGCTACACATATTACGTTTGGTCGTAAAACGTAGCGGATATTCCACTCTTTTTCAATGGTCATCCTTTTTCACCTCGTAATGCACTTTGGAGCGCGTCAGGTCAACGATTCCTCGCCGGGATGGGCCAGTACGTAATGGATCGACATTAAGTCCTTCGTTTCTGCCGTGGATGTGTTTGTGGGCTAGGTAATCGTGGGGGTGCGAGCAACGGCGATCAATCAGATGACACCTGTTGCCCAACCTCCCTCGTTCGTTCGCCACCTTCACCAATTCGCAACAATTAGCAGCGATCCTTATCAAGGTTAGACTCTAGGGTGGCCGGGGTACCAGCGATCCTAAACCAACGAGTTATCGCACGTCGCTCGCTACACATGGAAATTTCACACCTGCAATATAGCTAATCGCTATCATGTTTTTCGATAATGATAAGCTAATTAATCTGATATTACTCTCGTCATTCCTTTATATCGGAGCACACCCTTATATACATGTTAACTATTAATTAAATGCGATTTTCGAATTTTTACTGAAATTTCGAAAATGTCTATTGAACACAAATAAAATAATAAATAATATTTAAGAAAATATTTAGAAGTAGAAGAAAAATATTTTTACCGGAGAATATTATGGCACACCATGATAAAAACGTTGCCGTGTTTGCTCGCTATATAATCAACGATGCGTTATTTTTTCCACAGTGAAACGCGAGAGGTATTTCGTGAATGATGAAAATCAGACGCGTGGCTTCCGCGAAACAGCACGTAACGACTTCACTCGCGCGGCATAATGAACGTAATCGACGATCTAATAAATGCAACGGCGCGCGGCGTCCGAGGAGAGGTAGTCCTTTTGCTATAACAGGTGCAGATTATATCGTAATACAGATGGTGCGAACCGTTGCGACACGGTGCGCTTCGTTCGGCGAATGTGGCCGAATGAGCGAGAGCTTTCGCGTTAAAATTCATTGCACGCCCGGGCTTCGGCACTCTAATTAACGTAATCCTTTGCGAGCACGCTCGTTATCGATGCATTGCTAAATATCAGCAGCGGCTTGGTAATTTTCTATATGCCACTGGCAAGGGATGGGGCAATTCGCCAAAGACTAATCGAGTAGTTGCGCGATTTTGCGCAAGTAAATCGCGATGTTGCGTTATCATTTTCGCGATCGTGATGTTATGCTCGAAATACTGACACGTAGACCGCGAGTTAAGAAAATGCATTTTTGATATTTTTCTGAGATGAGAGTGATTGTGAAGATTTTGTTCATAATGCGGAACATTGATCTTTCAAGAAATTATCATTTTTGAAAGAATAGGATTGTATTGATGATAAGGAGTACCACTAACAATAAGAGTTATCTGAGATATAGAAGGAGAAAAGAAAGAGAGAGAGAGAGCGAGAGAGAGACTTGTATGGACAGAGGAAAATAGAGAAGCGAATGGATGAGAACGAAGTTCGTACGATGTAACCCCAACATTTTCCTGACGGTACAATGTTTCTCCCTTCGTGCTCGATTCTCCGTTCTTGTTCTCCTCTTTCCCTTTTCTTTGTCTCTTTCCCTCTTACCCTCTCTTTCCCCTACCTTTCCGGTCCTTCATCTAATCATTGAGTGCACCTTTTCTTCTGTGCTTTTCCCCGTGGCGATTCTTGTTGCGATCTGCGGCGCGAGACGATGCGAGCTCGACGGTTTCCAACACAGATTTTACAACTTGCTTTCCATCTATATAATTAAGCTTTCATGGTTAAAGCTGATAAATTGCGAACAGTACCACTAACGTTACAAGAAAGAAAATGCCATTTAGTGCGTATTACAATATATAAATAATCACGATTGGCTTTTTATAACGTCGCATACTAATCATTGAAGTCCATGTTTTTTTAACAATCGAGAACATCCATTACAGTTGTTTCCGCTGCTGAATCTTAGCTGAAATCGCGTTTAATAGTTGTGCATCGTAAAGTTAGTCAGCTCGCTCGCATTTCGGCACGAATTTGCGAGTTCGCCATTGGGAATTGTGTAAGTCTGTTGCCGGAAAATCATGTGACGGCTTTCGTTCGCGTTCGAGAGTAGGGAGAAGAAAGTCCCTCGATTCTTGATACGATAGGCACGAGAAAAGGGATTTCCCGTGAATGATACGAAACGACGTTCTCCTTCGCTCTCACGGTTACGATGCTTAAGAGAAACCGGAGGTGGCGCCTCGGAGGAAGGCTTGGTAGAATTATGAGGGTAGAGCGTGTCGGGGATGCCACGTGGGAAGAAGCTATGCCTCCCCTGGCGCCGTCAGATCGTTCCCCAACGGCCACTCCTGAACTAAACTGCTCCGCTACCTACCCTGAAGTGCCATCTCCCACTCCAAAGTCAAGCTTCCTTGCCGTTCGCTTTAAGTATGTGGATGTCGCAGCCGCATATCGCTTAAATCTTACAATCAGGACTGCGTGTACTTAAAAATTTAAGAACAAGAAGAATGGAACGAATTGTTTACTTATTAATCTGGAATTATATTGCTTAAAACGCTAAAAAGAAAACACAATGAAAAATTACACAAAAAGAAAAGTTATAGTTTCGCTTCAATATGCAACGTTAGTGTTCACTATTTATTCCGCGTTTTTGTAAGTGATAAAAAATGCGTATGTATTTTTCGAATAACGAAGCAATATAGAGATAGTGTAAATCATCCAAGTTATTCGAGCGTGCCTGGCGACTTAACGTCTAAAATGCGTAGTCGACAACGACATTGAACGTCTTTTTATTGGCTGGAATTTATTTCTAACAAACCGATAGTAACTATAGGAATATAATAGACGCGTCCGAACGTGTACGAGTATCATTACATAGGCCGCCTCCGATGATAGAAGTTTGCGCCCCACCGCCCCCGCGATTCCGTCACGGCTAGGAAAATCGTAGGCAGCTACCACGAGCGACGTTCCGAGAAAGCAGGAGATGAGTTCGGGTTCGTGCCACAGCTCTGGAACCACAAACTTTAATGTCGGCATTACTTTTATGCACGACTTTATGCCAAGTATCCCATCAAATATATGACCCGCACTCCCGCACGCTTTCCTCTAGGATGGAGAGAGCACCCTTCTCCCTACTTACCCGATCCTGCCCCCGATCGTCCCGTACTCGCGGCCGCGCGGCTAAATTATTGCGAATAAAACTTTATACTCAAATTACCTCTACGCCAACTTTATCACATTTCGCCGGCGCTGGGGCCGCCTAGGTTCTCCCGCCACCGTTGCCGCTACCACCACCATCGTGGTGGCGCGTTCT